TTGATTAAAAAAGAAGAAGGCAGTTTGCAAGTCTAATGTTAAAACCAGTTCCAGCTTAATCCACTTCATCTGTTGGGAAAGGTGGAGACGTGGTGTTTTGATGTTCCCAGTTGTATAAATACCGGTAGTTGAAGGCACAGCTTAAACAATGCATTTATTTTCATTTTTGATATAAATATACAAAACACAAAAATCCATCTAAAATGCCTCAAGTACAACTAAAACATATTAAAATAACAATACATTAACTGGAAAGTCAAAACCATATTCACCTGATGCTAAAAAGATAGTAATGTTGGTGCCCAGGCACACTTCTTTGGGGAGGAAGTTTCATAAATGGAATGCAGCCATTCTCTTTCTAGTCACCATCTAGATCCTCTCAAGTGGTAGCAGCACCTGAAGGAAACTCCCAATTGAACTCCCAATTTCCTATTTCCTATTCTCTGCCATTTTGTGTGTTGCATAGTGAATCATAATTTTTGGACAAGAGCATTTAGAAAAAAATATTAACATTATAGATGCTTAGCAGATAATAAGCATGCATTATCTGTGGTGCTAGTAGTATAATGCAGGATTCCTGTCTGTATAAATTTACACAAGTAACCTTACTCTTTGGAGATCTTGAAGTACAAAAACAGTTACTTGGGGAGATTCTCGTGGCCCAGAAATGGAAATCCCAGGAGATCCCAACGTTAGTGGAGTGGCAAGTGAAGATGTTTGAATATGCGGAGTTGGCGAAAATGACTAATAAGATTAGACATCAAAAAGTAGCAAAGTTCGAAGAGGAGCGGAATAAATTTGTAGTATATATACGGAATAATTGTAGAAGTTTAAAAACTGTAGCAGGGTTAACTTAAATCTTGTGATGTGGGTGTAGGATAAATAAGAATCTGTAGGGGTAGGTGTTAATGTGTGGAAGCTGAAGCAGGGAAGAAAGGAAGTCTGAGTGCGACAAAGCGCAGTGTAAATAAGAAAACACTAAGATGCTGGATGCAAGAGTTTATGTTTAAGTGGACTTTGTTTTTGGAAATTTGACTTATGTGCTTTTTTGAGTTTGCTTTTGAAAACTTAATAAAAAGTATTTTTTAAAAAGAGAGAGAGATTCCAAGATGGTGAGGGAAATCTCTTGCAATAGAAGTGGAGTAAGATGTTTTGGGGAAAATGTCCCCCCCCCCAGTTTGATCAAGTACTTTATCCCCACCCCACCCCCTTTTTAAAAGAAACAACAGTTTTATGAAAGCACAGCCCCATCACCTTCACTGCTGGTGCCTGCTGTTCACACGTACAGTCCTGACAGCAGTGTCAGTAGCTCTTGGGGAAATGAGCATTTTAGAGGACTTCTGGCAGCTACCGAGTGTCAGAAGCGGAAAGAAGAGGAAAGAAATATTGATCTCTCTCCCCGCCCCCACCAGAACACCATCCTATCAGTGACTAGATATATGGTGTTGGGAGGCAGGGAGAGGGGCCTTGGAGGACTGATCAATGGTTGGGTTGGGGAAAGGGGTTCAAAGTGTCTAAGAGGATCTGAGGAATCGCTGGTCTCAGATTCATTCTTCATTGGCCCAGATAAAAATCTGAGCTGCAGAAAAACGGTTGTAATGCTTTCCTTTCCATCCCCAATGACAATGTTCTCTCAGGATATGACATCTGTGTGTTCAGTGGAAAGGAGATTCTATGCACATGCAAAGGACTGAGCAGTCCCGTAGAGAGATTTTCTCACGGAGCTGTTTCTGTTCTTTCTGAGTAGTGTTGTGGGAGCAGATAAGAGCATAAGAAGAGTCTTGCTTGTTCAGACCAAATACCGGTCTAGTTCAGTATCCTGTTCTCACAGGTTGTGAGGGCGAAAACACACAAAGAGTTTTGAAGGGGAGGTTGAATGGATAGTCCACACAGCTTGCTTTCATGTGTCAAACTGAAAATCTGCCAAACACTCACATCCCTTGAGTATTTTCAAGAACTGGTGATAACCAAATCATAGCTTCACATTGAAAATCGTTGTTTGTTTGTCAGAGTGAAAGATGCACACGCCAGAGAATTTTATAAATGGCTACTGTGTGTGTTCTTTCATTTCTGATAGTTCACATTTCTGAATATAACTTTGTGACGTATCTTCTACGGTTATTTCTCTTTCCCCCTCCTCCATTCTTACAGGTAAATCTATCTGGAAAGCATTTTTTTTCACTCCAAATTTCAGTCCAGGAGATTCCAATGGCTGCCATGATGATCACGTGTGTTTTTGCTATGGAAAATCAGTCACGTACCATGACCCACCGTTGCTTTTTGATCTTTCCAAGGACCCAGAAGAAAAAAACCCACTGACACCAGAAACTGAGAGTCATTTCCATGAAATCATTCAAGTCATTCAACAGGCAGTGAGCAACCACAGCAAGTCACTGGTCATGGTTCCGAACCAGCTTTCCTTGGAAAATGTGTTGTGGAAGCCCTGGCTTCAGCCCTGTTGTTCTTCCTTCCTGCAGTTTTGCTATTGTGACCATGAGTCAAGAGAAAACAAGAAATTGCCAGAAGCATGACATCGCTAATGTACAATCACACCGATGCTTTGGGGATAAACAAGATGAGGGTGGGGAGCAGATCATACTTTGGCCTAAAAAAATGAGCCTCCTCGGTGGTTTTGCTCAAATAGTCAGTGATGTGCAGTGATACTAGTGCTGTGCAAAGATTGCTCTCTCAGATTCACAGTTCCATAAACAGGCCGTGCATTTTCAAGGATGCTTGCAGAGGGACTGATGAAAGTGTATACGTTTTCAGAGAAAACAGGTTTCCAAGGAATGGAGCAAGCAGCAGCAGCATTATTAACACAGTGGGGACACCATCTTTTTTTATCCACAATGCTTTGGTGTCATGTCATGATGTAGCATCATTCCCAACAAGTTCTTATAGGAATATATGGCAGCCTGGCTAACTGGCTGCAGGGCACTGCTGCTTCCACCCTATTAAAATGGCCAAGAAATTGGTTGAGGGGAGGGTGGGGGGCAATTAAAGGAAGATGCTGATAAACCCCCTCTTACTCTGAAAATGTATACGCTTTTGTTGGGCCCTCAGGGTAAAAAATGCACAATGATGCTGCAAGCTCTAAATCAGGGGTCGATAACCTAAGGCCCATGGTCCACAAGCAGCCCACAGGGGTCGTTTAACCGGCCCACGAGCCGCCCCCAATCTGAGCCGCCCGCTCGGTGAGTCCCCACACGCTGCGCTAAATTGTTGCGGCGCAGTGCGGGGACTCGCTTCTGCAGTGCCAGAAATTGTGTCTGTGCAGATGCCGAAAATTGTGAGCGCTCGCACATGATCCGGCCCACAGAGGGATCTCCACTGGCCGACCCCTGCTCTAAATGATACCATGTTCTGCAAACTTATTACAGTTTAGTTTCAGAACACTTGTAGGTTACTAACTTCACAGAAACATTACTTTTATTTTAAGTATCTAGTTGAATACTACCCCACCCCTCCATTTAAGCTAGGTTTGGGACACATCTGTATTTCCCCTTCATGTGTTTATAGAAAGTGTGAGGGTGGATGCCCCTAAATGCTGATATTTGCTAGCTGCACCTCCCGCAGCCACATGTTCAATGTTAGCAGGATGAGGCCCTACATGTTTGCACTATGTGGAATGTTCAGACGTCACTGCAGTTGCACTACCTACATGGACATCTTGTGACTGGAAGATTGGGCAAGTATATAACAGCATCCGAAGAGCCTGCTGAATCAGACCAATGGCCCATTTAGTCCAGCATCCTGTTTTCACTGTAGCCAACCAGATGCCTTTGGGAAGCCTGAAAAGCAGGACCTGCGTGCAACAGCATTCTCCCCACAGCCCCCTTTAAGGAGCATCAACTGCAATGGACATGTTATTATCAAGCATTAGGTTCAAAGGGTCAATGCGAATGTCTTTGTGGTGGCCAAATTACTTGAAGGGATGTTCATAGATGAGTCACCCAGATTCCTATTCCCTTGTTACCATATCCCTTCTGCTAACTTCTGTGTCACGCCCCCGATGGCATCTTATATAAAGACAAGGGCTTGCCCAAAAACATTTTTGACCTGAGGCAATGGACAAGATGCTTCATCTCCCTAATTCCTGATTACACAGGCAGCAGAATTTTATTTCCACAGTGGTGAAAGTGGAGAGCATCCCTCACTGAACTTGAAGGCAACAGGACAGTTTAGGGTGAGCAGGGCAGGCTGTGTGGCACACATAGACCCACCACCCAGGATTTGCCCCCGAAGGTGGCCACCTCATTCTACCTAATTTTAGGGTTGGCTTTGTGACTTGAAAATGAACATACATACTTCCTTCACAGTTTGAAAACAAAATAGGGGAAAGCATCAACTTATGACTAGGATGAATAATATCTCATTAGATGATTGGCGCTGTTGGAGAATGGCTGATAATATTAATTATTCACAATCATCTCTGAACAGCGTTATAATAATACTGAAGCACTTTATGTTACAAGACAAGGCATTTTAATTATTTTGTAGTGCAGAGTGCCAAAACGCATAGCTATTTGTAAATCTCTTACCTTACTAATGTAAATTATTCAAACTATTGGGTCATATTCAGTGGCTTTTGGAAATGAAATTCTCAGGACATGGACAGTGCATGGCTACTCAGAAGTAAGTGCTATGGAGTTCAGTGGAACTTGCTCCCAAATAAGTGCACCTAGGAATTCAGCCTAAGGGAAAGGCAAAATTAATAAGCACTTATTTTAAAAGTCTAAACGTGAAACTGCTCATTTTGTTGAAATTAAATAATGGCCATATCATAATAATTTGACAGATGCTGTGATTATGAAGCATCTCTTAATAGTTTACAGAGAAATAGCATAGTAGACAAACAGGTTGCTATTGGATGAGTTGTTCTTATCCAAGATAAAGGATGTGAGAGGATAGGAGAAAAGAAAGGAAGTAATAGCTGAGAAAGTGGTTGCAAAAGAGAGCAGAAAGGCCCAAGAAAGTGAGGCTGGTAAGGGGTTTGATGCGGATGTGAGGGCGATCTGGCTGCGACATCTGTCACCCCATTGATCGCCAGGGTTGATTCGGCTGATCTGGCTGGCTAGGCGGGTGTCCCCTTCCTCCCTCACGGCTCCATGTGCGTCCCTCCCGAAGCTGCGCGCTCGGTGGAAGAGGACGACCGTCCCAGATAGAAGGAGTGTACCGTTCTTTGGTCAAGGGTATACGATAGCTGCGCTCCCCTGCTAGAACCTCCAAACAAGTTCATGGTAAGGGGTTTGATGCAGGTAAGTGGCCCATCCAAGTTGAGCAGAGTCATTGCGGCTCCTTCATAGCCTAAACCTTTGGTGAGATCTGTATTTAATAAACCATGGACCTAGTTCAACCCCACATACTTGTGTTTTTGCCTGCTCTGGCTACAAATCTGTGCCTTTAGGCTTCCAGTAAACAGTGTTATGTACAGAGGCCATGTTGCTCATCGAAAACCCAGTGCATTTTTGCCCTTATGTAGTTTCCCTTATCCCTTAACCCAGTGGTTCTCAAGCTTTTTTTCTCTGTGCCACACTTCCAGAAGAAAAATTTTCTCGCACTACACCAACTTTTTTATTGATAAGAAATTGGAAAACATAAAGAATCAGCTCCTAGCAGTGTTTGATTTATAACACAGAACACAACTACTTTATAGTTTTCTCGTGGGACATCCATAAAAAAATAGAAAGCAATGCAGCTACATGAGAACATGAATCATTCCCAAAATATAATTATAAATGAGTCTCTTACATTTATACCTTAAGTATGTATACAAACTCGAAGAGCTGACTTTTGCTGTTTAATCTCATGTATATTTGGTCTGATTGGAGACAAACAAATTTTCATTTCTTCATCAACACAAAGAAGCTTTTCTCTTTTCTGATCTTGCATGTTTTGTCAGTGTTGAAAATCCCTATTCAAAACAATATGGAGAATTGTAGAAAAATAGCCAATGCTATTGAAGAGATGCATGGATACTGCCCCCCCCTACTATACCATACCAGTAAACTAAGTAAAAGTAAAGGACCCCTGGACGGTTAAGTCCAGTCAAAGGCAACTGTCAGGGGCGGCACTTATTTCTGCTTTCAGGCTGAGGGAGCCGGTGTTTGTCTGGGTCATGTGGCCAGAATGACTAAACTGCTTCAGGTATAATGGAACACCTTGACGGAAACCAGAGCACTTGGAAATGCCAGTTACCTTCCCACCACAGCGGTACCTATTTATCTACTTGCACTGGTATGCTTTCGAACTGCTAGGTTGGGACAGAGCAACGGGAGCTAACCCTGTTGCATGGATTTGAACTGCCGACCTAATCAGCAAGCCCAAGAGGTTGGTGGTTTAGACCACAGCGCCACCTGTGTACCATACCATACTATACTTACTATACTATACTGGAATGTTTAAATATTTCTTTGATTGTCCTTGAATCATCCCATCACACTTGTCATCCTCTCCCACCACATCAGTGTGGTGTGTCACACTTTTGAGAATCACTGCCTTAACCTAAACCCAAGCTTTCCAAACTGTGTGTCATGACACGTTAGTGTGTCAGCTACAGGGTGTAGGTGTATTGTACAAATACTCCCCGCGCTCCTCCTGGGGCTGGAAAGGGGTTTGTTTAACTTCTGGTTTGCTAGGAAAACTGAATTACTGTGTCGCGAAATTATGCATGTCTAAAAAGTGTGGCACCAACATGAAAAGTTTGGAAAGCTCTGACCTAAACCTTTGTTGTTCCAGATGCATGCCAGGCATGTATGTATAATATCACAAAATAATTCTGGGATAACCAATGCAGTCTTTTTATATATTTCTATTGAAACATAGGTGATGACCATTCAGCTTGCTTGAATGCTTTATTTAATCACAGGATCCATTGACTACATGGAGCCTTGATGTTTGTTTTCTCTTCTTGCCAGAATTGTAAGTGCTTTCCTGCTGTTAAATGTCTATAGATGCAGTAGGTGTTTAAAAAAGGCATTGTGCACCTTCTTAGCTTATTGTGCTTACATCAAACAAAAGTAAACAACAACAAAAGCTGTATATCTTTTGAAAACCCACTTGCACGTCTTGAAGCAAAAAACAAACGTTTTGTGGATTCTCCCTGTGGTCTTCCTGACATCCTACATGGAATAGCATTTCTTAAGCATTGTTTTCAAAGGCCTCTGCAGTACCCTGTCCTGAATAGTCTTCCCAGCTCCATGCTAGAGATTCTAAGCCAAGAAGAAAGAAATTCTTGTTATGCTGAGAGAACCATGATAGTGCTGACCTTTAAAGCCCTAAACGGCTTCGGTCCTGTATACCTGAAGGAGCATCTCCACCCCCGTCCTTCAAACACTGAGGTCCAGCTCCGAGGGCCTTCTAGCGGTTCCCTCACTGTGAGAAGTGAGGTTACAGGGAACCAGGCAGAGGGCCTTCTCGGTAGTGGCGCCCACCCTGTGGAATGCCCTCCCATCAGAAGTCAAGGAAATAAACAACTCTCTTACTTTTCAAAGACATCTGAAGGCAGCCCTGTTTAGGGAAGTTTTTAATGTTTAATGCTGTATCATGTTTTTAATATTCGGTTGGGAGCCACCCAGAGTGGCTGGGGAAACCCAGCCAAATGGGTGGGGTAATAATAATTATAATATAGGCTGAGGGGTCCTGCTTCTTCTAAAGGGTTATCATGGTCATGGGAATTTGGATGAAGTTGTTGCTTTTTTCTGTAGAGGACTGCAACCACTTCTACAATGAGCTCATGCAGCCAACCAAGTGACCTTTCTTTTTCCACATAGAACTTTGAAAGCAAATAAATAATGGGTGAGAACCCAACTTAGCCATACAGCAGGGCCATTGAAATCAATTGATTTAAGCTATTCCAAGTACGACTTAGTTAGATATCACTCAAAGTGACTAAATAATATTCTTCAGAAACCTCAATTTCTTCTTCATTGCTATTATAAATCCTTTTTTTCTCACCTTGTGAAATGCAAACTTATAAAATAAATTTAATTGCCATTTTATTGGAATGATTTTTCTTCCATACACTCAAATAATTCAAAACCTTCTATGTCTAATGCCCTCCCTTGCGCTGACATACCAATATAATACAAGTATTATGAAGAACTAGACAATAAAGCAAATGCAAAACACAATATCAATATTTTAAAGAGCAAGTGGTGTGGATTTGTGCTGTGGTGACATATTCAACATGGAAACATGAAGGGAAGAAATAAATTAAATATTAATTAGTCAAATAGAATAATGATAACTGGTTTCATGCTTCGCCACTGTTGAATAAATCCAATTTTTTAAAAGGATGTGTATGTTTGCATATGTGTTGCCTGGTTTGATATGTATAAAATGATTATTCTAAGGGTTTTTGATATGCAAATGTTTATGTCTTCAGCAGTTCCTTTTCATTTTTAGAAAAGGAAGAATTGTAATGGAGGCTAAGAAAATGAACACAATCTATTGCTACTTGGCAAGAGTCTGCAAGAGTCGATCTTAGATAACATGTTGGGAACATTTGATAAATGCCCTTGTCCATGTAAGTGTTTAAGCTCCGGAGAGATGGTTAGGAATAGGAAATCCAGGCCATAGCACCCCTCTGTCAGCTACATATGAAAAGTGCAGCAATTCATTGTCATCTCATCATTCACTGGGCTTTTAAGAGACATATTACTTTGCTGAAGGACCCATCTCGGTGTTCCAGCCGTCTTCATTCTGATGATTGCTAAAAATGAATGGTGATCCTTTCTGAGGCGCTGAGATTTATGCAGCTGAATGGCAACCCTCTTTGATTATCTTTCAATGAGATGCTGTCATGAGCAGGCGTCCCTGGAAGCTAGATGGCATCCTGCCCTCTCTGGAAATTTATGACAATGACAAAAGTGTTTCCCCAAAGACCAGACAACTGTTTTCATGTGAACTGTGCAAGCAGCGAATTGTATTTCGTTCCCCCCACTTCACTGTTTAAATCAACAATTGCTGGAATATACAAGGGCTCTATACCATAGATGATAGATATATAGATAGATAGATGATAGATGATAGATAGATGATAGATAGATAGATAGATAGATAGATAGATAGATAGATAGATGATAGAGACAGACAGACAGACAGACAGACAGATAGATGCATATATATCCTGGATAGTTCTTTTACTTCCAGGCACAAAACCTCAATGTATCAACAACCAAATTATATTGAAAAAAGCAACTTCAGTTGACTGTTCCTCTTCATAAGAAATAATATGAAGAAATATGCATCATTTCTTAAAGTGTTCCCCCACAAATACCATTGCATGAAGGGAAGAGTGGAAATACACTAATTGGGCCTTCACTATATAAAATTGGAACAGTAATAGTATTTGACATCCTAATGAATGAAAACATAACACAAGTTGTCCTAGACTTTCCTTCTCCAGTTTTGTTTTCTAGCTGTATCCGTTCTTATCAGTTTCCTGTGAAGTAATTTGGACTAAGCTGATTGAACATCCATACCTTTAATTTTATAGTCAGACTCTTAAATGCTGGGTGACCTTGGGCTAGTCACACTTCTCTGAAGTCTCTCAGCCTCACTCACCTCACAGAGTGTTTGTTGTGGGAGAGGAAGGGAAAGGAGAATGTGAGCCGCTTTGAGACTCCTTAAGGGGAGTGAAAGGCAGGATATCAAGTCCAAACTCCTCTTCTTCTTAAACCCTAGCAGAGATGAGGAACCTGTAATCCACCCAACGTTGTTGTACTTCCACTGGAAACATGGCCAGTGGTCAGGGATGATGGGATTTGTAGCCAGCAGCACAAAGTGATTCACAGATTCCTGCCTCTGGTCTAGGCATAGCAATGCTATCCCTGAGGATTAGGTCTTGGAAGCTTCAGTATCTGCTGCACAATGATAAAGGAACATGGTTTCCAGTTGTCCCTGTGCATGTGCACCCCTCAATGTGGCCTTTAGCTCTACAGTCAGTGTTTCTCTGGCCAGCCTTTTGAAGTGGAGAGCTCAAATGGGGAAATTAATGCTTGTAGAATTAAAGGACCATCAGGGAGTGGGGCCTTTCATAGGATCAACTCATTCTGCTTGCATGAGTATTCACCGGAGAAATGGATAATCTCTTCTGCATTTTGGCCATGTTGCAATTGGAATAAACAATGGGTTTTTATCCAACAGAGTTGTCCCTTTACTGCAGGGACTTCTGTCTACCCAATGGGACTTCCTCTTCCTTTTCTCTCTCCACATGCCCCCTGAGCTCTCCCCACTGCCCACAATCTGCTCCAGAGTGTTGAGGGAACTCCCAGAAGAGATTTCAGGTTACACAGGGAAAG